AAGGATCCGCTGGCCCCTAGGCTGCCCAGGGGGCACTGGCGATTCCCACGGTCTGAGTCCCGGAGAGGTTGTCAAGCTTCCCATTACTGGAAAGTGCCGGTCTCCCACACAGAGTCTGGAGTCAGCTGCCCGGCACACCGAGGGCCGTGGTGCAGCCGCGACAGCCAAGCCTGAGCGGTGACTCTCAGCATTAGAGGGAAAGCGTGTAGGCTGTCCTCCGGGCGGGCTGGTCCAGCGGCGAGCTGGCTGCAGGGAGAAGCCAGGAGCCAGCGGGGTGCGTTCGGCCTCTTGACCCGTCCCCCCACAGCTGACTTTCCCTGGGAGGGTTTATTTTTTGAGTCGGGTACACTGTGAAAGTAATAATTTTCGAAAACATCTTTTTCAAACCATTATGTGTCAAAGATATTATTTAAGTCATTAGTGAGGGAACCAGAGAGATGACACAGTCAGGTTCAAAAGAGGATATGAGAAACAGATATCAGTGGAAGGAAGAAAGCAGCTAGAATAAGATGGCTGAACTTGAGACTAAGCTTATGAATGTCTTACAGGGCAATGAAAGTCAGAAAGTTTGGGATTATCTTCCCTACCGGGTGGAAGTCGTTGTATATTATCAATTTTTTCTCTGTAGTGTCTCTCACAGGGCTGGGTCCCTTATGGGTAGTAAACAGTAAATAAAGTACTCTCCCCTAGAGAGTCAGATGAGCCTTAGGTGGCTTTGTGCTTTATTTCCAGGGTTGGGATATATTTTCTGAGCAGCTCAAAGGAATCCAGCTGGTCCTGTGCTATGGGGGTTTTGCCATTTGCTGAGGATACCCAGTCCAATTATGCATTCCAGAGCTGGGGGATTAACCACAGGAGGGGTTCAGGGACCCATTGGACCCATTCTGAGAAGGACGTGAGCTCAAAACCCCATTGACCATGTGACATCCACAGGTCCCTGCCAGCCCTGTTGGGGGCTAGGGTGATGGAATCATGTCAGGTCAGGGCCGGTGTCCGCTAATCCCTGAAAAGTCTGATTATTTCCCATTCTCCTGTGCAGAGTCATCCTGGTAAAAGGCTGCCGATCCTTTTGGGGAAGGCTCGGAGAAAGATGAACAGTATAAAATTTTGGCAGTGTAGCAAGGTTCTTCCTCAAGGGGACCCAGCTTCCCCTTTCTTCAAGGCGTCTGGGTCTATAAATTGGCTCACGTCTTGGAACTGATGGTGGGGTTATGAATCTCCATTCTGGTGATTCAAGTTCGACTTCTATTCCCCTCCCTAGAACAACTCTGCCATTCGCACAGCTCAGGGAGCAATCTAGTTGATGCTTGTCTATTTCACTTCTAGGGACACCGTGACCAGCTAGCTGATGCCAAGGTCTCTGTGCAGCCCACCGTTCTGACTGCCGCTTTGACTCTGCTGTCCATTAGGGCCTGGAGGTGGGGTGTGGGGAAAGAGCCGTGAGAACGTGTTGAGATGTGAGTTCTGATCCTGCCTCAGCTGCTAACTGGCTGATTGACCTTGAGAAAATTAACAAGCCTCTCTGGGCCTGGTTTTTCAACTCTTAAATAAGAGGGTGTAATAACCCCCCTGCCCCGCTTGGTCAGCGGGACCTTTGAAAACCGCAACATGTCTTTAAACGGTGGCCGTTTGTTTAGGTTTGGTGTCTTAGATGATGTGAGGGTAGGATGCAAGCTGGGTCTGAACCATCGGGGTGCTTTGGTTTAAACAGTGATGCATTAGTTGCCCACATTTTAAAATAAGGGGACTTCAAATAAAAGTTCAGATTTTAGTCTTGTTTTGAAACACTGGAAGTTCTGGGACATTCTCTTATGACCACAATAGAGCGAGGGGCCTCCTTTAAGTGGGACACGTTCTCCCCAGTTTACCAGCCCCGCCCAGCCCATCACCCACAAGCACTGCATTAATTGAGGGTGCCCCCAGGGGCCAGGGGTGGTGGTAGAGGCTGGGGCATAGACTCACACGTGAAAGTGCGAACCATTCATTAACCGTGGAGTGTGAAAAGTGCAACCAAGGGGACAGGTGCCAGTCTGGGAGGTAGCTCGGGCCACAGCTGGTTGTCCCTGCACTGGGATGTGCCTCTGCTCGATAACATGGAACCCAGATTCCTCCCTGGGCTCTCAGCCACCGGGCTCCGACTGTGGGGCGACTTTTCACTTCTCCCCTAGCCTCTCCGGCTTCAGGTTTTGGAAGACCCATCTGGCTTGTCTGAGTATATTCACTTGCCAGACGTTATGGCTCGTTCTGCTTTTTCTTCAGCTACTGCTCCAGCTTCCGATCTCAACCTAGCCTCCCGGGACGTCCCCCCTGCAGACACCATCTGGGTGAGAACAGCTCCCTGTCACAGTGTCACTCTGCCAGAGCAGATTCATTCGTTCGGCCAGTTTTGCTGAGCACTTACTACAGGCGTGTGCTCAGCGGGAGAAACATGATGCTTTTCTATACCTGCCTTCGGCCCACTGTGCCCTGGGCCTCTTGGAGGGACACCTGCAGTTCACAGCTCGTTTGCATAGCCCAGGTGCCCACACCCAGTGAATGTGGAACACTTCCTGTCTCACCTGCCCACCTTCCCAGGGGATCTTCGACGCTCCTATAATGAACACTAGCTATGGACGTCATCTTGTCCAGCTCTGTGGGAGCGCCGAGGGAAGAGGTCCCAGGAGCTCCTGCAGTCAGGGAGGGCTTCTTCTAGGAGGTAGGCTTTGCCCCATGAAGGGTCAGTAGGATTTGGATAGCTGGGAATGAGGGCAGGTGGGGGAAATGGTGACATTCAAAGATGAGGGACTAGAGAGGATGAGGCAGAGTGAAAAGGTGGAGGAAAGCTGCAGGACAGATCAGCTCTAGCTGGAGTATAGCCTCTCCACAATAGAGGAGCAGGGGTCATTTAGGAAGGTCAAAGGGAAGGGGCAAAGGGTCTAGACTTTATCCTTCAGGGAAGTCATTGAAGAGAGTTCTGGGCAAGGCCACGACAGGAGCCTAGGGCTGTGGCTTTGGGAGGTGGGCTTGGAAGGCAGGTGCAGACTGCCGGTCAGGAAGGGGCAGAGAGGAGGGTGGGAGGAGAGAAGCCTGGGTTCCAGGCCTGTGGGGCTGTCTCATGGCCCAGGCTGAGCTCGGCACACCTCCTCTGCATGGCCTGGGAGAGCTCCTCAGCCTCTGGTCAACCCTCCTCATGTCAGGAGAACCCGAATGAAGTCTGAGCCCGGGCCTCTCTGGGAAGCAGGACTGGAGGAAGACACGGGGCAGGCGGCTTTGCCTTTGCCCTTGGGTGAGGACAGTTGGCAACACCAGCCCCCTCTGGTTCGGCCGGCACCCAGTTCCTTCTCTCTTGGCTGGGGCTGGGACTCAAGGCGTGATCAATGTTGCTGCCGAGAGAGCATCATGTTGCAATTACAGAGACACCAGCTCCTTCCGAGGGGAAAATGTTGTGGCAGGGACTCCTGGGCTTATTAGAGTGGGGAGCAGCTCTGAGGGGGTGCCAGGAGTCCCTGTGTTTCCAAGAATAGCCAGGGAGTTCCCCCGGAGCGTGGGGCACGGTTTCCAGCCTCAGCTCTTCTGGGTTGGGGTGGGGGCTGGAAACTCAATCACGAGCCAGCTACCTCCCCAGGCTGGGCTGCCCCAGGTTGAAGCTAGACCCCTTCCCCATGGCTCTGGGCTTCCCTCGGGGGTTGGGTGCGCAGCTGGCCTCATCAGGGCTTGGAAAGGGTGTCAGAAGGCGTCTCAGTCTTCCTGTCTCAAAGCTCGTTATCCCTGGTGACTCACCCACCAGCCGTGCCTCCTGGCTCCGTCTCACAGAGTGACAATGACTTCCCATCCTGAAGGTCCTCTGAGCATGTACTCTGTTGCTAGGCCCCACCTCCAGAGACCCCTCGGGATCCCTTTGTGGGGTCTTACCTTCGTCATGACCGTAGCCATCTGCTTTAACATGCAGTAGCGGTAGCAGACAGTTGTCCCCAGCCTGACTGGGCAGGATTCTCGGAGCGGTCCGAGCACCCTCCTTCCACCACTGACCCTTCAGCACTGGCAGGGCTGGAGATTGCATCATTGATGCGGGGGGGGGGGGCGGCGCAAAGCCTTGGGGGTCCCCTAGTGCAACCACACGTATTCATTAGACTCCCTGTTGGAGGTCACCCAGCCATGAATGTGGGGCAGAGCTCTCTCCCTGCACGTCCCTGTGTCTGTGCATCTTGTCGTGGGTCACACTCAACCCCGGAGCTCCGCCTGTGTCCCCGTTGCCCACGGAGCCCGCGTGCCCTTGCTCGGAAGCTAGGCGAGGACGACGTTGCCGGCAGCCTGGGTACGCGTGCTCTGAGCTCTGGGACAAGGCGTGCCGTCGTTTCTCGGCCTTTTTTCTGAGGGTGAAACGGAAGCACGGAGACATGGTAAAGTTTTCTTTCTCTTGTTCTCACAGCCACGTCCCTCCCCCGACGCCAGGCATTCTGTGCAACAGGGATGTGCCAGGAATCGTGAATGCCATAGGCAACCTGGGGACGCAGGCCCCGGAAAGGTGCAGGGGTGGGAGGGGATTTTATGGTTCCAAAAAACAGCCTCCCGGAGCCTGGGTGGCTGCCATGCGGCAGCAGTGGGGACAGTGGGGAGCAGAACGCGGCCGAGCGAGGCAGTGGGTCTCCCACCCTCTCAGCCCACGCCTCGGCCCAGGCCCCGGGTTTGTGGCGGCTGCTATCTTTGGAGGTTGGAGCAGGACTGGGACGGGTTTGGACCTCCAGGGGCTGCGAAATGCTGCAGGCTCCCTTTGCATGTGCCCGAGGGCTCCTTGCACAGAGCCGTATTTGCTCAGACTTTGAGCCTTGGTTTCTTGGGCCAGACCCAGCCCCGCTCCAGTCACAGGTACAGTGGAGAGCAGAGGTGGCCGGTTAGGGCCTCTGTGACACCAGCCCATCCGCACGGAGCAGGCAGGGCAGCGGATGGGGACGTGTGCATGGTTCCCTGCAAACTCCTTCCACTTTGGAAACAGAAAATGCCTGACCTCGGGTGGCAGAGTCATGGTCATCGCCCCAGACCCCAGGCTCCTAAACGGTACGTGTGTAACTCCACTTCCCGGCAGGGCTCCTTCCAGGCTGATGGGGCATTACCAGCGGGGGAGGCCAGGGGCGCCTGCCTTGGAGATGGCAGGAAGGGCGAGGGCTGTGGAAAACCAGAGAGGGGTTTGCACCCCAGATCTGCCATCGACTAGCTGTGTGGTCTCGGAGCTTCTCAGCAGAACTACAGGTGGGAACAGGCGGCCCTTTATTCGAGGACAAGCAGCACGATGTCTGCACACATTAGCATGATAGGCGCGACAGGCTCTTCCTGTTTTCACAACTCCTTGCTTCGACCTGCGTTGTACAATGGGGCCACTGTGCTGTCGTGAGGCTTGGCAGTGGTGCGGGTAAAAAGTCGAAGGGTGTCGTGCATGTGGGGGCCTCGCAGCCCCATGGGAAGAAGGAGTGGCTCTATGAGGGGACGCACCCAGGCTTCGTGGTACCCCTGCCCATAGCCCCACTAAGACAGGAACTGCCCTCAGCCTCACCTGCTCCATCTGCAGGGAAAGCTCGCTTTGTAATACTTACCTTTTACGGTTGTGTTCAGAATTAGCAAAAAGCTATGTGAAGTGTACAACAGTTCCCAGTATGCAGCGAACGGTCAGTAAGCAGTAGTTACTATTACTATTACTGTTTTGATTATTGTTGGGGCTGTAAATAAGAGCAGTTTCCGCTAACACCGGCAGACGCCCTGTGTCCGACCTTCCATGCCAGGGGTGTAGGGACCGGTCTTCTCTGCAGAAATGACTGTGAGAACAACCTGGATGGTGAGGGTATCTGGGTCATAGGGGTGGGATCCGTGGACGGCGGGCTCAGGGAGCAGCTCTGGGGACTGCAGTCAGATTCGTCAGCAAGGACCCTTAGGGGAGAGTGGGTGATGGGCAGGTGGAACCCCAGACCCTGCACTTGCTGCCCGTGCAGGAACTGAGTCCGTGTGTCCCAGCAGGACTGACGCAGACCCCCACGCACTGCCAGGCAGCCGCAGGAGGAGGAGAGGAGATCACACAGAGAGGAAGACTTGCTGGCCCCAGACAGTGGGCGGCTCCCTGGAACCCACAGGCTCCGGCCTCTGGAAATGCATCAGAGCCATGGCTGCAAGTGCTTCCCCGGCCGGCTCTTCCAGCTCTGGGGACTGGCGGCGCTTGGCTGGAGTCCTGCTTCTACCACCTACGAGCTGGGCCCCTCTCTAGCTCTTAGAGAAATGGAGATGCTGTGAGAATTAAGGAGGACACCCACATAAGGAGTGTCACTATGCCTGGGACATGGTGGGTGACTAAAATGACCAGTACTAAACACTAATCACTGGGCAGATACTAATCTGCCTTTCCTTCTGCACCTCCCACCCCTTAGTCCAGAAGCTTCACATGTACTTGATGCTCTGCCTGTGCTCCATACCTGGATGAGTGGCCAGGGGAGCCTCCTCTTCACCTGGGAGGAGGAGTTCCAGCATCCTCGCCTGCAGACGGAAGCCGTGGCCCAGCCCCTCTCTTAGACACCTGCCTACCGGAGGTGCCTCCCACCGGACCACTCCGGATGTCTATGTTCCCTGGAGATAATTTTAGACTTACAGAAGATGTGCCGAAGTAGTTCAGAGAGTCCTGTCTGCCTTTCCCCTAGCTTCCCCTGGTGCTAACTTCTTAGCTAACCAGAGTACAACTGTCAGAACTTAGAAAGTAGCGTTGCTTCAGTACTATTAACAAATTAACAGGATTGAGTTGCGTTTTGCCAGTTCTTCTGCGAATGTCCTTCTTTGGTCCAGGATCTAGGATCCTGTGTTGCGTTCAGTTGTCCTGTGTCCTTAGTCTCCTCCAATCTGGGACACTTCCTTAGTCTTTCCTTGTCTTTCACGACCTGGAGACTTTGGAAGACTCCTGGTCTTTGTAGAGTGTGTGGCATCTGTTTTCAACATGTGTGGTGCAGTGGGCAGCACAGGGTAGGACAGCCTTGCTTTCAAACGTTTCCACTTTCTTATGTTTCTCTAGACGGCCAGAGCCTTTGCCTCTGCCCAAAATTCTGCCCAGTGGGGTGAAAGATCCCATTCAGCTACAAAGGTGGCAGGCAGCTCACGTGTTTAGTGGGTCACGTTGGCTACGTCACCTCCACTCCGCACAATGTGTCCTCTTTCTGACTCACTGTCCAGCCTGTGCTCACATCTGAGCCTCAGCTGTGAAGCCAGTTGCTCCATCTAACTGGTAGACTGCCCGAGAATGAGGGGGTGCCCGTCGTTCAATGCCACATCCCCAGTTCCCGATCGGCACCGTATCCGCAAGGGGCTCGGCGAGCGTGCTGAATGACAGAGCAATCCCCATCAGCCCCCGTTTACAGATGGCCTGTGGAGTTCGAAGGGCAGCCATGCAGGTTATGGAAGTCCAAGGCGTATCATTTTCTCAGGGGCCATGCAGGGAGACTAGAAAGAGACACACAAAGCTAACATACTAGCCAGACTGTACAGCGGGGTCTCTCTGTCCAGCATGGTTGAGTGACCAGTTGAACTAACTCATTAAAGAGAGGATTCATTTTAAAAACAATACTTCAGGCATTTAATTTCCTTAGAACATTCGTGTGCATCCATTTACCGAACTTTTTGTGCGTATCTTGGGTCTTTTCTTTGAATAGAGTCCACCGATGGGAGTCTGGCCCCAGTTATTTGCAGAAGTCTTGCCATAACGTTTTATCCACGACCTCCAGTTTTTTCACTTTTACTTTATAAAGCAGAGCAGAGATGAAAACTTGTTTCATAAGCTTACAGATTTTCAGAATTTTTAGAGATCTAATTTACATAGAACTAAGCAGGATTTTTTTTTCTAGTGATTTTTCTTTACCAAAAAATTTCCCCAATGCATTCCACTCAGTCGTTAATGCAATCACTATTTTGATTTTGTTTTTTTTTTTTTTTAAAGATTTTATTTATTTGTTTGAGAGAGAGAGGGGGAGAGGAGGGGGGAGAGAGTAAGAGCGCACAAGCAGGGGGAGCAGGAGAGGGAGCAGACTCCCCGCTGAGCAGGGAGCTCGATCCTAGGACGTCAGGATCGTGACCTGAGCCGAAGGCAGCCACCCAATCGACTGAGCCACCCAGGCGCCCCCATTGATTTTGTATTCATATCTCGTTGTTTATGAAATGGTGGACGGGATGAATGGCAATTAGAAGAACAGCTAGCAGGAGCCGGTCCGGCAGCAGATCTAACCCCCTGGTGGGCACAAGGCTCTGCAGGTGTGCCGGGAGAGGTGGTGGAGCCCGGCTCCCTAGAGAGAGCGTGCCGCGTGCTGTGGCCATCAGCGACAGCCCTGAGAAGAGGGTTGGAGAGCAATGGTTCATGCTTCGTGCCAGCAGAGTGGAGGACACCGGAGAGCTTTTCAAGTCCTGATCTTTCATCTCCCCCTAGTTGTTATTTGTTAAGCTCCCACACAACAGCCTGGCAAGTATTAGTGGCTGGAGGAGGAAACAAGGAGTAAGACGCAGACCTTTGCCATGAAAGAGCACAGAGCAGGGGAAGAGACAGACATACCAGAAACACCAAGAAGAAGAGCAGATTGCGTGCCCTGAGACTGAAGGGGAATAAACAAGTTAGGAGGAGATCATGGAAGACTTCTTGGAGGAGGTGGCCCCAGAGATGCTAAGTGAGAAAGGGATTTGGAAGAGGCAGAGACCACTGAGCATCATCCTCTCAAAGGGCTCAAGATGCTGTTTTCTGAAATGGAAGCTGAAGGGACCAGAGGCGGCGGGGTCCACCTGTTTATTGTCACCACCATCCATTCTGGAGGGGACAGGATCCTTGAGCCTCCCCTCCATCAAGTCAACCCTGGAATATTTGTTAGAATAATAGGGAGGGTGGGGAGCTGGTGTTCCCGCAGGGAGTCCAACATCTTGCCGAGTAAGAAAGGCAGCCAAGACCAGCAGGCCACCTGTCCCAGGTCCCCAGCGGCTCTGCCTCTCAGGCTGGTACATGCAAAAAATTGCAGACCTCGATTTATCTCATGCCAGGAAGATGGGATGTTTTGTTTCAACCTGTGGTGAACACTCCGGTTGTTGAAGAGATTAGGACTTCCTGGGCCACAAATATAATTAGAGGATCAATCAGAAAGGCTAGAGCGAAGGCAACCTTTGGGGAGAGATATTTGTTTTTCCTGTGTCTCTTTGAACATGAGCTGACAGAAAGGCCCCCAAGGGAGGCTGTGCTTCAGAAACCGTAGGACAGGGGCCTCCAGAGAGAGGGCTGAAGTCTCCAGGCACGGCTGGGGAGGGTTAGAAAAAAACTCTGCTTTGCTCAAAAGTTACCTGTGTTTCCAGAAGCCTCCCCAACCTCCAAGTGCCCATCTTCCTGCCACCACCAGCCTTGATGGTGAGCATCAAGTAAGAAGATACTAGAGCATCGTTCAGACATAGTTTTTGTAGTTCAGCAATATATTAGCAGATCTACTACGCTGGATACTCTTATAGAACAGGGGACTCAAACTTAAATATATTCTGGGGCCTGGCAGTAAATATAAATTGAGAGAAACCAGCTGAGCACAGGGCTATAAGGATTAGTGAGGACTGTGGCAAACTTGAGGACACTGTGTCCCAGCCAGCTGAGGCTGGACGTAGCAACAGGAGGAAGGGGCCTCTGCCAAAGGCTTGGAGCTTTGCCCCTTGCGTGCTGGGGCACCTAGGGAGAACATAGGGGGAGGGAAGCCCAGGGTGGAGGTGTAGCTCCTTCTTCCTTTTCTTCCATTCTTGGAGTACAGACACAGCCCCTTCTCCATAAGCTGGACCCTCCTCTGCTTGGGGAGGGCCTCTGCCTTCTTCACTCAGTGTGTGCCTGTGTAAAGGGGGCTGCCTCTACTTGACCCCAGCCTGCTATTGCCTTGCAAGAATGCTAAGCCAATATTTCCAAAATCTTGTGATCCTTTTTATAAGAGAAGCTAGAGGTCTATTGTAATATAAAATCTCCAAATTTTAAATATCGACCATAAACTGCGATTTTCCAACAATGTTCTCTATGTGAGCCCAACGGA